TCAGGAAAGCTTAGAAGTAAACATTTCAGCATCGTCACAGCCTAGGATTTGCTAAGGAGAATTAATAGAAGAGAAAATTCAACGTCATGATGAGCAAGCAACCCTGAAACAAATTCCTCCAGAGACACGCGTGAAACAAGAGTTAAACAAGGCGCTGCAGCACACACAAGGCAACGTTTTGCTGGCTGAATTCTTTAATAACATTCGTGGAGTGGAAATAAAGTAATAAAAATGCCTCGAAATATTTTGATTTTGAGGCAGCAGCACTAAAATTTTGGTAAAAAATCTGTATCTCACTCAGTTTATTGACATCTTAATCAAGCTTTGTAGTGTATCTGTTTCCCAAAAGAGGTGCCAATGCAAATTCAATTTGGTTCAACTTGACAGACCTTTGGAAACAGCTAGTATATAAAAACACTGAACTGGGTCTTTGGGACGGGCAGAGGCACTTGGAGTCTAAGTGGGAAGAGAAAATAAGGATACAGATTCAGAATTAGCAGACATTTATTGAGCACCTACTGTGTGCCCTGTATTGTTCTAGTTTCTTGCCCAATGTTCTAATTCAAAGTACATTGTGGTGTTTTTGTTTTTGCTTTTTAATCATATGTGCTACAAGAGAAGTACAAAGAGTCAAGTAGGAAATAGCTGAATATGACATATTGAATACTACTACTAATAAATAACAATAGCAAACACTCACTGGGAACTTTCACTGTTCTAAGCACTTGACCTGTAATAACTCATTTAATCCTCCCAACAACTCTAGGAGGCAGGTACTATTACTGTTCCCACCCTATATATGAGGAAACTGAGGAACAGAGAAGTTAGGTAACTTGCCCTACTCACATCTGTTATTAAACATGTGAATTTATCTCCATTCTCCAAAAACCCCACTGAAAAGAGAAGGGCTTAAACCTCTAAGGACAAAGAAAAGGGAGAAGAGAGAATAGGAGATGTCAATTCTTTTCCTTTTCTAGACGCAGGAAAGCTTGTGTAGGAGTGATAACTGATGCACAGGGGATACGGAATCCTCAGCATAATGCAGGAAGAAGCTGAAGCTCAAAGGAAAACCCAGGGCAGCTCAGGAATTGGAGGTCCCAAGTATCAGTAAAGGCCTGTGGTGAGGCATGAGCCTGAAAAAAGGACACCCAGTCCCTTCCCCCCACTTCTCAGATATGCAAATAAATTTCCCAGGCCACGGATGAGACAGAGTTTCTGGGTCTGGAGATACTGGGACATATTGGCTCCACTCAGGCACACAAGCAAGAAGCAGGGCTAGGGTATCAGACTGAAACAGGACACCAACTACCTCTCACGTCCTGATCCCAGAAGGTTTGTAGCCAGACTATATCCTCTAAGCAAGAGATTGGAGAAAATGAGCAACCCCAAGGAAAAGATCTCCGGGTGCTGACATTTTGGGGCCTCCAAGGAGAAGACTGGCTCGCTGTCCAGCCACTGCATTGTGAAGCCCACTTGTTAATAAATCTTTCCCCAACACAGAGAACTTCTAATAGCTTTCGAGTGCCTCCCTCACTGATACCACCAGTCATCGACAGAAAAATCAAAGAAAAAGACAAAAACACTCAATGCATGGGAAAAGGAGGTAATATGGGAAGAATAAGAAAGAATTATTTTCTTTGGAGAGAAAATAAGACACGGCATCATGAACCAAGTAAAAGATACCACAAAAATTGTCAGAGAACAAAAAGGTAGCTCTTGGGAATAATAAAATACTACTAATAATATCAGACATAGAAATAAAACAAAAGTGTTCAAAGATAAAATTGAGACAATTTTCAGAAAGAGTAATAAACATAAAATAGTTTACAAAAGAGAAAAAATGTTAAGAAAATCAGAGAATTGATCCAGGATGCCCAATAACCAATTAACATGAGTTCCAGAAAGAAAGAGAAAATAGAGGAGAGGAAATTATAAAACAAACGAACAAAAAACAGGTTTCCCTTGTTTGCAGCAGAAAGAGCCCCACAAGCGTCTAACACATAAAAGGATGGTGTCCATATTGAGTTACAACGCCATGAAAATGTGGAGCACCCGGAGAAAGGAGAAGATCCTAAAAACTTTCAGCAAGAAAGAACAATTCACACACATACGAATAAGACACCAAAACTGCAATGGCTATTTCAGCAGTGAACGTGGAAACCATAAGATTGTTGAGCAATATGTTCAAAACTCTGAGGGAAATGATTTCCCACTAGAATTCTCTATCCAGCCAATCCATCAATCAAATGAGTAAGATCTCAAAAATTTTACCTCCCAATGTCTTTTCTTAGGAAGCTCTTAAAGATTTGCCCCACCAAATCAGGAGAATATGTCTCGAAGTAAAGCAGAGGACACAAGAAATAGGAATTCTAATGCAAAGTTTTGGCATGAGGGGGTCCCATAAAGGAAATATGAATCAGGTTTAAAGAGGCACTAGCTCGTATTGGAGCAGGAGCATAGAGCCCTACAGGAGGGAGAGTGTCCAGGGAAATAAAGAAACTATTTCGTCTAGTCAGAACATTTGGAAAATTTATGAACAGGTACTCTATAGACTTATTGAGAAAATTACCAATAGATTTATGGAAAATCAGTAAATTAAAACATAACTCAGTGAGTAACTACAGGGAAAGTAGAAGACAATACGGCAAAGGAACACTACTGGCTCAGCCATAAATAATGTTTATACGGTCATCATAAAAAAACATTGGCTACTGATTTAACCCAAACTCTGGGACACATATTTATTTTAAAGGATGGGAGGAGCAGACATGGGGAGGGGGAGACTAAGCTTCAATCACAACTAGGAAGACAGTGAATAATGTCCAAATTTTCTGAAGAAAAATATAGGGGCAAAAGCATATTATTTAAAAATATGATCATGAATACTAAAAGAATTTTGATGTCAGGTTCAAAACACAAGAGTTATATCTTGAAAAATAAAAAACCTGTTAAAAACAATTTCAATCATATCTGAAGTCTCCATGAGAGGAATTGAAGGAGAGCCATTGATCACATAGCAAACTGTGTTAAAATCCTCTTTCCCTTGGTTTTTTCCTCACACCCTTCATATCTTGCTGGTGCTTTACCTCTCCAGTCTTATTGTCTAAACTCCCCTGAATTCGCTCCAAACTCAGCCTTAGGTGCTGGTCCCTCTCTGTCCTTGTCTCTTGACCTCACTGGCTGTCTCTTTCTTTCTCCCTCCCCCGACCCATTCTGGAAATGGCCCCTTTCCAGGCTGTGGCTCTACCCACTTCCTGGAGCAGAACCACAAAAGCTCAGGGTCAGCAACCCCCAAAATACCACAATTCTTACCCAAGAAAGCTGGGGTAGGGCAAAGCTGCCTGAATATATTCTGAGCCCATCACATTGACGTATGACTACTATTTTTTAAGTTTGTAGAAATGTTACGGATTTGCAGTAACTCTACACCCCAGCAAGTCCCCAGTCTGTGGTAGAAACCACTACCTCATCTTAGACCTCCTTAAAATCTCTGCAGGACCCAGCCTAATAATTTTCCTGGTGTGTTTTGTAACAGTACAGGACAGCAACACTTTCTAAATCCAAACTGATGCTGAAACATGCCCACTCCAATAAATCAGTGCTCCCACCTTTACTAACTTATTGCCTCACTAGGCTGGGAAAAGAAGGTCGCTGCCAGCACTCGGGTGGAGACAAGTTGATCCCAACACCAAAAATCTAGAAAGCCTTTCATGGTTTGTCCCATGAATTGGTCAGTTTTCCGTATATATATATTTTGCTTATTTTTACAGCAACACCTACTGACCCTCTCTCCTGCATAATTTATGTGAAAATACTGAAAGCCTCAGTAGAATAAAAGTTTAAAAGTTGAGAAACGATGCAGAAGGAAGAAAAGGGCAGGAATAAAGTGTTTAATTTATTAAGAACTCTGGCACCTCATTTTTTTTAGCCAAAATAGGAAAATGATGCCTATCCCAAATAAAACCTGAATTCGCAGCATTGTAAGTATGTAAGGTGAAAATCGGGGGGCCTTCTCTTCTATTGGAAAATGTCATTTTGGCTTTCTAGAAGATAACCAACTGAGAAGTAAAATAATAATAAGGAATAAAGAAATAAAGAAGCAAGAATAAAAATAAATCATAAACACACACATGCATACCATGTGTTACCGTGTGCTGTGAACTGGGAGCAAGAGAGGCAGTGCAGTCAGAACATTAGCCCAGATGTCAGAAGCTTTGCTTTAAGACTTGCCTCTCCCCCTAAAGGTCTGGGTGCAGGCAGCAGTTCTCATCTTCCTGTTTCTAAGGAAGTTTTGACTAAGTGATCCCTAACGTTCCTTGCAACACTGCAGTTCAAAATTCTGAAAGTCCTCCCATTTGGAGTCAGCCTCACCCATTATTTTCAACTCTAAAAAGACAAACATAATGGAAAGAACATTAAATTTGAATCAGAAGAAAGGGGTTTATATACTAGCTTTGTCCTTAGGTGTATGATCATGGACAAGTCATTGTGCTCCTATCTTCTTATTTTATTACTATTACTTATTATTTCTTCAATGTGTAATAATATTTTTTACAGTTGCTAAGAGGGTTGGATACAATAAGCAGATATATACTCTAAATGATAAAACACTATGCAAATATTGGTAGTTAATATTTACAATGGCCATGTTGAAAGGCCTTATTCCTCTATTGGTAGTGAGATAGTAGACTAAAATTTTCCAGGATAAAGGCTAGGGTGTAGCACCCAACATCCCACACAAAGTCATTTACACAGACCCACAGCCAAAATTGTAGAATAGTCTTATGATCAATTATTCTACTTTAAAAATCTGAAATAATTTCCATAATAAGAGATAAGAAAGATCACCAAGAGTGTCCTTTCAAGTAATTAAAGACCTAATATTACCTTTTGGGTTTTTTTTTTAAGTAAATGGGCAGTGAAATAGTGTCTTAGTTTAGGCTGCTATAAAAAGTATCATAGACTGAGTGGCTTATAAACAACAGAAATTTCTTGCTCACAGTTCTGGAGGCTGGAAGTCTGAGATCAGGGTGCCAGCGTGGTGGGTTGTGGTGAGAACCTCCTCCAGATTGCAGATTGCTGACTTCTCATTGCATCCCTCACGCAGTGGGAAAAGAGCGAGCTAGCTCTCTGGTCTCTTTTAAGGGCACTAGTCCCATTCATGAGGGCTCCACCCTCCTGACCTAATCACTTCCCAAAGGCCCCGCCTCCAAATACCACCACAATGGGGATTAGATTCCAACTAGGAATTTGGGGAAAACAAAAGGATTCAGTCCATAACAAACAATATTATACCAAAGTAAGAGAGACAACTCAGCAAATTCAAATATGCTAATGTCATCCAGTAAAGTCTACAATGCAAACCTTCTATTTGTATACTATTTATGCACCTAAATTTAGCGGGGAAAAATCTGTTCTTGGATGTTTATTTTCCCTTCACCTTCAGAACCTTTTTGGATTTTTTCCTCCAGATTCCTAAATGACTTTACTGAACCATCATTGTGTGGCTGACCAAGAGTAACCAAGAGATATTTCCTCTAGGGGGAAATAAATTAAAAATTAGCTCTGGCTGCTGTCTTCACATAGAAGGTTATGCAAATGTTCATCTGTTCCTTTGAAGCTTGAACGTCCTGTGGGACCAACAATCTCTTATCCAGATTTCATATTCCTACTAATGTTTAAAATCAGTGTGCCTTTTACCGACAGCTCAGAAGGAAGCTAACCAACAGTTTTTACATTATCAGAATGATCAGAAACTCTGCTTCCAAACAGCAAACGTCATGGTGGAAGCGTAGTTCTCTTGGGCCGTTGCAAGTGTCAGATTCACTCCACTGAGCCTTTCTCCCCACTGCCCCGGCTGGCTGGCGGACTGGAACACTCTGGTCCAGGGAAACCTTGAGAACGGAGAAAAGAATTTACCCAAACTCTCTCCTGGTGCTGCCCTCCTCTCCCTTCCAAAATGGAATAAAACTTTTCCTAAATAAAATGTCCTGAATGTTAACTTAATTGTTTGGTTAATAGATGAATGGAGAAGAATCCCTTTTTATTCAGCTTCTGGCTGAAAAAAATCTTCCCAAAAAGGAAAGTCCAATTTCCTGGCTACATACAGAGTATGAACGAGTGCTGAATGTTTTGGGAAAACCTACCATGTCTTAGCATAGTCATAACGTTAGGAATAAGGGCGATAGTTGAGGGCGAGGAAATGCTCTAGGCTGTTCTTACGGGGGAAAGAAGCCTCGCTCATTGGGTCTTAGCCTCCAAAGAAGGGCAGGGAGGATGGAGTATGTATGCCAAGAAATGCTGCTGCTACAGCACTCCATCTTCACAACCGCTCCAACTGGCAGGTTCACGCAAGCAGTCCACAGGTTCTTTTCCATCTCTATTATAAGCAGTTTCTAATGATAAGCAGTGAATAAAATAGGCAGTCGCTGTCCTCTGTCCTTATAGTATGGAAGATGGACAAGCATTAGCTACAGCTGCAATAAGCTTAAAAAGAATTGTGGCATGTTGGAAGGGAAAGCTGAGCTCCGTACAATGAAAAGGAATTATCTACATGGGCAAAGATGGGGAAGGTGTGAGGGGCAAAACCATTATTATCTTCCTTGGCAGATGATGCAAGTGAAGCCCCAATGGATTAGTTGCTCTGCTAGTGAGAGAAGAGACAGGATCCAGAACCAGATCCAGATCTTCATTCTCCAAAGTCCAGGCACTCAGATTCCCATCTGAGAGTCAGGGTATGGCTTCTCTGTTTAGTCCTGTGTAGGCAGAAGAAGGGAACCGCCTGGGAGAAACTATCCTCAGATTGTTTTCCTACGTTTGGGGAGAAGATGTTGGAGGAGGTCATCCAGAGGATATGACTGCCGGTTGACCCATGAGCTGGATTCTGGCAATTGGAGGATTCTCACCCCCTCACCCCTGTTCCTGGGGTGTGTGTTCTGCCCACTGTTCCCACAGTGGGAGCCATCTTCAGGGATGTATCCTTGAACTGTGTTGTTGAGACCATCTGGACAGTATACGTGACTGAATCCCATTAAGGAGTCTATATAAACCTTTAAGATTCTGGCAAGTGGGTGTGGAGATCTACTCATTTTGCCAGTGCCCAAGACAAGCCTTCTATGTAAGTTCTCTTGCTTACTAAACCTGCCACCTACCAATCTGGAGTGGTCTGCCTCTTTCTTCAGTTGTCCCTGCCCTCCTTATAGGGAGGCCAGTTTACAAACCAACGAAGGACAGAGGAGGCAAGAGACTTAGTCAATTTCATCTTAACAAATAATCAGACATCTATTTAATATGTTTTCTAGAAGAAATTCTAAAAAGGAATCATGTATTACCAGGTGGGACCCCTGCAGTAAGAACTCTGAGAGCACTGAAGATTTGAACTTCCGGCCAGGTGGAAAGATCAAATATCTGAGCCAACACTCACTTCCGGAGTATGTTTCTAAGGGACCTGCACTTTAATCTGCCAGGCTCTTGGTGACACAGCATCCCAAGTGCCTCCTGCAAGCGCAAATGCTAAATAAACCTCTTGCCAGTCTCACAACTCAGAAATATCTTCTCAAGGACCTCAGAGCCATCTCTTTGAAATGTAATCATCAAGGAAGATAAAAATGTCCAATCTCCTAGTTTCCTGGGAGGAGATGGGCCTAATTTCAGCTAACACCTGACTCCAAATTCCAAAACCTACCTCCAATCATAAACGTAGGAGAAAATTAGCAAATTTATCTCGAAAACGTGAATGTAATGGGTTGTATCCACTTTACTACATAACAGATTGAGGTTCCTTTCTGTCTTTGCATTCTCTTGAGGGGATGGCCTGTGATATCCATCACATTCCGCTTTAATGCTTACTCAATAATAAAACTGTCTTCTTTCCCTTCTAAACTTTGTAGAAAGGTTTTCTGGTTTGGGAGCAGATTTTGTTTTTAATGATATTTCTCCAACACTACTCACCATTTTCTCAAGCCACAGGAGGAGGAGAATTAAAGGGCGAATTTTATGATAACTGTTGCGAGTCCAGACAGAAAGTTGAGCTTTCTGCAGCTGTGAGGAATGAAAGAATGAATTGTTCTCATATAGTCACACGGGAGGCAAGTTTCAGCAGCATATTTAGCGGGGCTCTTAGAACATGGAGTCAAAAACAGCCTGAGTCCTCTGCCAATCTCCCTCAGTGACAGCGTGATAAAAAATAGTATTTGAATTAGGAAGATGAAAGCTTCCCCGTTGCATGGCCAGGCAACAGCAGAAGGAAGAAAATGAAGCAAGGCTCCCCAAGTCTACCAAGAGGAATGAGAGGAAAAGCTTCAGAAAGAATCCTAACAACGTTCTCAGCTTGTGGTTGATGTTATTTTCCCTTTGGTGATGGACTGTTCTCCTCTTCAGTGAGGCAGCGTGTGCGATTCCACGGGACCAGCACGGGGTGGGCAGACTGTGCATCCAGGCTTTGCTATGGGAGACCCCCAAATGACAGGGGCAGCTTTAAAGAGAAAGAGAAGAAAGCTGAATGCCTAAGACCTATGGAAAAGGAATGGAGAGCCAGGGAGAAAGCGAAGGTCTTGGTGATCCGGGGACAGCGGCCATTTCACAGGGTGCTGTCTGGGACACCTGGAACACCTCAAGTCTTCTCCTAGCTCCGGGATGAAACGCCTAATTTCCTACCATCAAGGCTTTGTGGTCCGGGTTCATGACCTGACCCTTGCTCCAGACAAACACTGTTTATCAAGCGCTTGCTGTGCATGCGCCCGGCCCGGTAAGGGATCTGAGGTAGGCTTCAAAGAAGACTCAGGCATGCTTTGTTTTGGAAGGAAGATGTAGACATATTTGCATCACATTTAGATTAAAATTCCAATTCCCATCTGCCTCTCTAATTGCATCCGTTAGTGCTCTCTCTTATTCACTCCTCTGTAACACATTGTCTTTCTACTCCCCAAACACTTGAAACTCACTGCTGCCTCAGGGTCTTTGTACATTCCCTGTTTCTGAAACACTGGACTCCGAGATCCCTGTATTCGTCTTAGCTCAAATGTTCCCTCTTTGTAGACGGTTGCCCTGACGCGCCTATCTAAAGTAGCCATTTCATCTCTCACTATGGCAACAACCTGAGGTCGTTCTCTGCATGGCTCTTATTCCTACCTAAAAGTTTTTACATACCATTTAATTTGTTTTCACTAGTTGATTTTCCGTCTCTCCCACAGGAGGATAAGTTCTGAGAAGACAGGGAAACTTGTCTGTCTCATTCTCTGCTGTTTCCTGAGGGCTGCGAACGGTACCCAGTACCGGGCACAGAACAGGTACTCGGTAGCTATTTGTTTAATTAATTAATTAGTTATTTAATTATGGCAAGCGCCCAAAGGACCGGAGAATCTCTTTCAGTTCAAAGGGAACGGAGAGGAAGCACAAGGGCACTGGTGTTCGTGGGCAATGAAAAAGAGGGAGAGGAAAAAGGATTTGAAAAGTATAAAAATCTTTTCTCACTTCCCAATTTTGCCCAAGGCTAGAAATGGCACCAATAGAAACAGCTTTTAGTCAAGAGTCCTATAAATGCAGGGCTGCCACACTCTGTTTTCCCCTGGCCCGGAGGAAACTGCTCCTTTCACTTCCCTGCCTGCTCTGTACCTCCGGGATGTCACTTGTCATCACTTTGCACTCCAGGCATCTTGCAGCATGTTCGCATGTTCGTGTTGCTCTGCGACAGTGTCTGGGTCTGAGCTGACTCCTGACCTTTCCGTCTCCCTCCAGCCCCCGCCCCAAGACCTGGCCTGGGCTGGTCATGGTCAGGCTCGTAGATGTGCACTGAATGAACTACCACAGAGCACACTCTAAATCTACGCTTGCAAAATAAATGCCTGCAAAAGCAAAAATAATATTTAATGAACTCTCGTCTTCCTGCTATTTACCTTTCTCATAGAAGTGTAACAAAAAAACGATGATGTCATTCTATGTAATTGAAGCCACAGGCAGGTAGGGTCTGGTTAAGTGAGGCTTTAGGCAGACTCCTCTTAGTTAAAGACCCTGTCACACAGGCTTCTCAGCATCTCCATCAGTGTCCCAGAGCTAAAAGCTTGGGGAACTTAATGCTTCTCCAGGGAATTCTTCCAAATTCCCACTAGTAGTATTCATTGTGACTCTATTTCCTCCTAAAAAATACATAGAGGTAACAGCCCCAGATACTTCTATAACCTTTTACAATTCATAAAGCACTTTGACCTCCATGCCTTCATCATGATTACAGGCTGTTTGCTCTTTGGATAAGAGAGGATCCACTTGGAATCCAGAGTCCAGAGGGCAAGCCAAATGTACAACGCCTTCTGGAAGGAGAGCGAGGAGTGTGAGGAGTAAACACATCCTTACCCAGCTTCTCATGAAACAGCAGGAGGAGAACATCCATGTCCCCTAACACCAGCAAGCTTCGGGGCAGGTGCCACGTAATACCGTTATTAATAATGACTACTATTCACCTAGTACCTGCTAGGAACCAAGCCCTAAGAAAGACAAAAAAAAAAAAAAAAAACCCCACATAAGTGGTGTGGATTTGCTGGGAAAGGAGTGTTGGAGAATAAAAGGCTTTTTTCAAACCAAACTTAGACCAAAGCCTATAATATGTAAAACAAAATTATGGCACTTCTCTGCTGAGCGACAGGTGACGTGGCTGGGCCCTCTTGGCTCCTCTCTCTCCTTCGCTTGCTGCTCCTGCAGCATGGAAACAACTTGGGGGAATGCCCAGGACCATGCAGAACACAACTGGAAAAAGGCCCCAGCTGGGAGGGGTTTACCTGATCTGTCCTCCCTGCCCTTGTCTGAGAATCCCTGTGACTCTTGGGGTCATCCTCCTGGCGGACACGAATCTCCTCAACTTCACCCAGCACCCTTCCCA